TGAGTAAAACACAGCCTAATTTTCATTTTTGGGTGAACTAACCCTTTAAATCTTTAATTTTTTTTCTCATGCGAGAAGCCTTTTCACCCACATATGTCACAATAGAGAAGAAAAGATGCTCACAATTTCTGTTTCATTACTTTTTTGACTGTATCTTCACAGGAATAAGGAGTGTCCAACATGCAGGAAGAAGCTGGTGTCTAAGCGCTCCCTCCGTCCAGACCCCAACTTTGACGCCCTGATCAGTAAGATCTACCCCAGCAGAGATGAGTATGAAGCCCATCAGGAGAGAGTGTTGGCCCGCATCAGCAAGCACAACAACCAGCAGGCGCTCAGCCACAGTATTGAGGAGGGCCTAAAAATCCAGGCCATGAACAGGTTAGATGTCTCATATAAATCCATGTGTAAAATATGTTTTCTTGTATTTGCGTTTATTCATGTTTAGTGTTATATCTCTTATCTATGGCTGTCATGTGCTGAAATCAGTTGTAACTTGACAGGATTTTGAATGCTAGGTTTTTACTCTTTTACTCTTTCACTCTTTCTTTTGTCATTTCTGTCACTTTTTGTGGACGGAATGTTAATTTTGCTGGGGGTTTTTTTCTTCATCATCTGCTCTTGCTACTGTGTTCCACCACCGTGGGCTCTGTAGACTGCAGCGGGGGAAGAAGCACCAGATTGAAAATGGCAGCGGGGCAGAGGACAATGGGGACAGTTCACACTGCAGCAATGCATCAGTTCACAGTAACCAAGAGGCCGGACCCAGCATCAAACGAACCAAAACCTCAGACGATTCTGGACTGGACATGGACAATGCCACAGAGAACGGAGGAGGAGACATGGCAATGGACGGGGCCAGCGAGATTGAGCTGGTGTTCCGCCCTCACCCGACGCTAATGGAGAAAGAAGACGCCGCGCTGACAAGGTGAGCCAGTTCTGTTTCAGTTAGTTTTGCTTAACCAATTTAGCATCATTTTAGCTTTGTGTTTTAAACCAGTTTCTTTGGTTCCTTTTGTTATTTAGTCTTAATTTAAATGTGGAATTTGTTACCAGGTACATTAAGACTTCGGGGAACGCCACAGTGGACCACCTCTCCAAATACTTGGCTGTCAGATTGGCTTTGGAGGAAATGCGCAAAAACGGAGAGGCAAGTCCCATCAACGTAGAGGCAGCCAGCGAAAAACAGTACACCATCTACATCCCTACCGCAAACAACCAGTTCACGGTAAGTTTGGTGCCGCTTCATCTAGGGCTGCACAATATGGTCAAACAATCATATTCTGATCGTTTGGACAAAGATTGTGATATGATAAACATTTAACATCTCATACTTCTACTTGGATGCCACACCATTTTGCATTGCTTTCAAGCCAAAAATATTTAGATCTCCTGTCAAAAGAAGGAAAAACAAAAATATATGAACAAACGAAGTTTTTGAAGAATCTTTAACATCCATGGAATTGTTCCCATTTCACAAATGGACCTTTATAGAGGAAAAAGATTCTTTAGATTATTCAAATGTTCTTCACACAAAGAAAAATGGTTCTTCTAATATTTGAGTAAAAGGTTCTTTGGGGAACAAAAAATGTTTTTTATATGTACATGCATACAGATGTGACATCACATGAACTAAGACTCCTATTCCTGTATACTGTGGTGATTGTCATGCATATATTTCTTCAGTATGACAGTGGCCATTTTTCCATCACAGGTCCTGAATGGCTCTTTTTCTCTGGAGCTGGTGAGCGAGAAGTACTGGAAAGTCAACAAGCCCATGGAGTTGTACTTTGCTCCAACGAAGGAGCACAAATAAATCCAGTGAGCCTGACCCAGGACAGACTGTGATGGTTCATCCTCTCTTCTCTCTCCCTGTTTCTTTGTCTTTCTCTCGCTGTTCCTCCTCATTTGGAGTATACTAGTCTCTGGAGCCCCAGCTCCTCAATAACTGTGGCTGCTTTGATTTGGATTTTTTTATTGTCTTTTTGTATGGGAACGAGACCAGGGTTGATCATTGGGAGTGGGGTGGGAGGGCCATGGAAGTCAAACCAGTGTGGATTTGTTCCCCCCCTTCAGTTGACACAATCATTTCATTGTTACATGTTGAGTCCTTTTGAGTCAAGAGGACTCCGATGTTGCCTTCAACAAGCCAAAATTTCAGTCTACAAAATGGATATTGCATCCGTAACACCATGAGGAAATCACACTGAGTGCTTCATGAGAGACTCTGTCAGAACGTGGCTTTCGTAGCCAATGGCGCTGTCCTTTAATATTAGACTTGACCAATGACGTTCGCAGAGCTGTAAGAAATTTTAAGTGCATTTTCAGACACACCACTCCTGTAGCAGCAACATTTGTTCACTAACATGATTGCATCTTGCCAGTACAATGTACCAGTACAATGTGATGGCTTAGTTCACATGACACTGTCATGTCACTAGTCTGTACTACTATGTTGGTCGTCAGATGTTTCGGAGATTGTACATACCTACATCACTTTATAGAATAATTACCTGGAAAAATGTATATTGACAACATTGTTACAGTTATTACAGTACCGTTTCATAAAAACATAAGTTGGCAGTTGTACATTTGGGACCCAGTTTTTAATAGTTTCATTGACGCTTCATCTAAGACAAGGAAAACTTTTTTAGAGCATGAAGTAATTTTAGTTTGACTTCCTTGGCATACATTTGAGTTCATGTTGTTGTTTGGGAAAAAAAATGTATACAGCATTCTTTGTTTGGAAAATAAATAAAAAATGTATGCAAATGCTGGTCACACTTTGTGTCATTTAAAAAAATGTATAGTGGAGTAGCAACAACACAATTCCAGCAGAGGGCGCTAGTGCTTCAGTTCTTTTAAGGCTATGGTCAGTGATACAATATAAATGTTATGGAATATAATAATGGTTGTCATGGTGTAAAGACATGCCACAATATAAATAAGTGATTAACTTAAAAAAAAATTGTACAGTAAGTAAGACCAATACAGTTTTTACAATTCTGGCCGATACGATAAGCCAATAATTATGATACTATTTTGTCTTAAAATAAAATAAAGACCAAAATAAGTGAATTAAGGCATCACAACATTATAAAGTACAGCATGAAAATGGATATTAACTTTGAGATTTGCAAAGTAATACATTTTTTAAAGATTAGTGATTATAAGCATAGGTAATCGAATGTGAAGATAGGGGAAATTTAAAAAAATACATTTTACAATATATTACACTAGGCCCAGAGAGAGAAAAAACATTTAAAAATCTTACAGACCCCAAACTGTAATAAAAACTAATTTTAGCCAATAACTGTTATGCTACCACACTATTGTGGTAGGCCTATCTACTGTCAGTAATGACTTATAAACTTACCTGTGAAACATAGAATGTTTCTTTTATTATTTATACAATGTTACATATATCAGGAAAGGTCTCACATTCATACGCACCTGTACTCTCAGACAAAAAGGTAAAGCTGTCACTCGAACCTTAAAGGTACATATTAGTATATAAAGTGTACATATTAGTACCTTTTAGCTTTTGTACCTTAGGATACCACCCAGCTTACAGCTTTGTACCTTTTTTTCTGAGTGTGATTGCTTCACCTCTAATGTATGAGTTCAGCAGATCTGAAGCTGAAGTTGTAACAAGGCCGCTGTAGTAGGTCGTGTAATCTGTGAAGATTAGTGAGAGCTTTTACAGTTCTGATGTAATACCACGTCCAGTGATGTGCTAGTCTCGCCATGTGATGCTCTATAGCACTACTTATTAAAAAAGTTAGTGTAATGGCTGTTTATGCACAAACATCAGTTTCTCTATCCTGCTCATAAGAGTCAATGCTGTGTTTTTCATAGTTCAGGTCATATACGGCTCCACTAATGAAATGATGAGTGTGTTAAATGAATGATTAAACGCATTAAATGAAATGGAGAAACGCTGGTCTGAATCTGTTGGTATTCAGCCACAGGTTTGTTTTCTTTCAGTTTAGTTTGTTCCTCAGGTCCATTGTGGGTGCATTTTTCCTCCTGTACATGATCTCCTTCCCTCTGTACCTTTGGCTTCCTCTTGTCATTCTTCTCTGTGGGCTGGACTGCTGACACTATATGGGCCTTGTATAGTGGTTTATTCTTCCACATTCTCCGCAAGTTCTTATAACACATGAATCATGATGCATGTGGCTTTTCATTTTCAAATACTTAGCATTTTACAGCCATCGGGCCTGGAGGGCAGTGGAACAACAAACTAATCCCTTTCTTACATGTTTTTCATTTCATATATTATAAATATAATAATCACACATTAAAATCAAATCACTCTCACTTTTACTATTTGTGAACTGTGTATATTTGCATAATAAATCATGTGGTGCTGTGTATATTTTTATTATGCTTTATCGTGTATCAGAAAGAATCAGTGTTTGTTTAAACTCTCTCTTGCTTTATTTATCACAGCTGCCTTGTAACTTGAGGATGATCAATTAATTTAGTTAACCTTCTTGTGCACATATCTTCACCTCAAATAGTATTATAATAGTAATAACATTTTGTCTTTATGTTCCACAGTAGAATGTAAGCCATTCAGGTTTGGTACGAGAAGAGAGTGAGTAAATGATGACACAATGAGCATTTTTTGGGGGTCAGCTATTCCTTTAAGTATTTAAAAATGTATGAATATCACTGCATTAGTTATGAAAGTAAGGAACATTATTTAAAAGAAAGATAGTAATTACACTTTACACTAATTACACAAATAATGGATAAATAAATAGATATACTGATCAATTATATGGACACTTTCTGGTCAGTTTAACATGTCAGTGAATGTGATGAACTCCATCTGGTTACCTGTGTGAACTGGACAAGAAATTATTTCTCACAGTCATTGAGATTTTATTTATTTATTTGGTCAAAACGACTCAGGATGCCAAGTTCTGAGTATGAAAAACAAATCAATCCATGTGATGCTACATCTTGTTTTCTAATGCACTGAAATTCATATATTCGTGTGTCTTTGAGTACACCATATTCAGAAACATCAGTTGTATTGGTAACTCTTTACAATAAGGCCCCTTTAGTTAACGTGAGTAATTGCATAATTGTTGTTAACGTTATTTTATAAAAATTCATCTGTTAGTTTAAGTTGGTTTTAGGTCCATTAAATATTATTCACACATACAACTTTTGATTTTAATAATGTATGTTGAAATTAACATTACCAACATGATCAATAAATGCTTTTGAAGTGTTGTTCATTGTTAGTGCATGTTAACTAATGTAGTTAACTAATATTAATCAATGTAAAGTGTTATCGTCATACCTGATTTACTGATTCACAAATCTCCGCCTTATCTTCTCTGTTCATGTATCCTGTAGAATAAGCTGTATGGACTGTGATTCATTCCAAGCGGCCTATTAATATGACCTCAGGTGACCTGCCAGTTGTTTATATGTCAAGAAGAGCGAGTCAGGCCATGTGGTTCTTGTACAGTCAGAGTTGGTCTGTGTTGGGTCGTACATGTCCGTTCTGCACAGTTTGCTATGCGTCCATTCATAATGGATTTTACAGCCTCGCCATGAGGATGCAGCTGACCCTCACTGCAGTCTCACAAATGTGTTTTTACTAGCGCTCTCAGGGCAGTTTGAATCTCAGCGCGGTCGGGGTCATGGCAGGGGCCGCTAACACCCCGCTGACTTGAAAGGACCAAGAGCTGCAGCCTCCTACATCAAAGATGAGCCATGCATTTGTAAAAGCCCCTGAAAGTATATCCATATAACCTTAAGCACTCTGGCATTTTCACAGATCAAAAATGATCTCTGTGGACCCGTCAGGTTGATTTTTAAACCTATTTGACTCTTTTAGCAATGTCAGAGGCATACAGGCATTCATTTTTGAGTAGTTGGCTTCTGGTCATGCTATATATGTTTGCTTGTGTTGTTAGTTCTTCTGGTGCTCACAGGTTTCAGAGTTGCAAGCATGAGATTAGAAAATCTATTAATATGCTGTTGATGTTCATTTTAAACTGTTCTGAGCTTTTAAACTGGTCAATAATCACTTGTCTTTACATCACCAGCACTCGTAGTTTGATGTCTCCTGTCTCTCAATGGTTTGCAGATGGCATCATTAAAGGTGGGGTAAGTAATTTCTGGTAGCCAATGTTGACATTTGAAACCACCAAAATGACGTATTGACACAAATTTCAAATGATTTTCAACGGTCGCCTTGACTAGACAGTGTACTAGACAGACTAGACAGACAGACAACAACTAGCTGTTGTGGCGCAGACACGGTGTTACTCACCTATCGAGAAGAAACAAAGCAACCTCGGCGTCCGATCGCAGGCCTTCCGCTCCTTGAGTTCTCTCCAGCGCTGGAAAGCTGATCCGATACTTACACGGGTCCTAATTCTTGCCTTATCGTAAGCCTTCTTTTGTGCCGCAGACAGTTTCCTCTTTTGTTTTTTATCCACCATCTCTATCTTTTTGTCGCTCGGCTCGCTAATGTCCATCCTGTGCACTGAGCGCTCTCTCCTCCACATCATGAGTAGACACGCCCCTTACTGCTGATTGGCTACAAGTTTGTTTTGCTATTCGGCCCGAATCAGTTTTCTAAAGCGTTTTTGAAAAATCGCTTACCCCACCTTTAAGCAGATATTCCCTGGCAGTAACGACTACGGACCTTATTTCAACTGCTTTCTCTGTGTAAATGTGCGTTCGTAGAGCTGGTTGAGAACATTGTTGGGATCTTTCCACACGCACTGCACTGAACAATTAGATATTCATGCTTTGACACACTGTGACAGAACAGGACCTGCATTCACTTTCTGTGATTAAAGCCTCCATACACTGCCAAACTGCAAAGCAGACTCATGAGTGTCAGTTCTTTTGCAGTCAGAAAAGTTTTGTGCATTTTTTCTTTGCTTTCTCATATTTTTATTTCAGTTTTGCTCCAGCTTGGTAGCAACAGTTTCAGAGGGCCATTTCATTTTCCGCTCCAGCATAACAGTGCTCCTGCGTGTAATGTTCCATCAGCCAGAGGAAAACCTTTAGTAAAAGAGTAGAAGCTACGGCAGCAAAGGGACAGATTACTATTCATGGTTATGAAATGACCAGTATTGTGTTTGGGCGTCCGCATACTTTTGGCCATGTCTCATCTAATGTGCAGAATGATCATTTCGGGTCCTGGATGATGATTAATCAATGCAACATTGGATAACACGTTATTTCAAGGACCGGTTCTCACTATTAACTGGTTGCTTATTAGCATACATATTACTAACATGTTGGCTGTTTATTAGTATTTACAAAGCACATATGTGACCCTGGACCACAAAACCAGTCATAAGTAGCACGGGTTTATTTGTAGCAATAGCCAAAAATACATCGAATGGGTCAAAATGATCGATTTTTCTTTTATGTCAAAAACCATTAGGATATTAAGTAAAGATCATGTTCCATGAAGATATTTTGTAAATTTCCTGCCGTAAATATGTAAAAAATGTATCATCAATAGTAATATGCATTGCTAAGGACGTCATTTGGACAAATTAAAGGCGATTTTCTCAATATTTTGATTTTTTTACACCCTCAAATTCCAGATATTCAAATAGTTGTATCTCGGCCAAATATTGTCCTATCATAACAAACCATACACCAATGGAAAGATTATTTATTTAGCTTTCAGATGACGTATAAATCTCAATTTCAAAAAATTG